TATTGAGAATTTTTAGCATAAAGTGCTGTTGAATTTTGTTGAAGGCCTTCTCTGCATCTATTAAGATAATCATGTGGTTTTTGTCTTTGATTCTGTTTATGTGGTGAATTACGTTTAAAGACTTGTGTATGTTGAACCAGCCTTGCATCCCCAGGATAAACCCTACTTGATCGTGATGGATAAGCTTTTTGATGTGCTGTTGCAATCGGTTTGCCAGTATTTTATTAAAAATTTTTGCGTCTATGTTCATCATGGATATTGGCCTGAAGTTTTCTTTTTTTGGATGACTCCTATTTTATTTCTGAAGTTGATGATTTGTGTCTCTCTTAATTAACCTGGTTTATCAATTTTATTGGTCTTTTAAAGGGATGAGTTTTTTGTTTTTCTTTATTTTTCTGTTGTTTTCCTGTTTTAAATTTCATTGATTTCTGCTCTAATTTTTATTTTCCTACTTTAGGAAAATAAATTGTTTTAGGCCTAAATTGTTTTTGTTTGTCTAGTTTCCCAAGGTGGGAGCTTACCGATTTTAGATTTCTTTTTTTTTTTCTTTTTGAGATGGAGTTTCACTCTTTTTCCCAGGCTAGAGTGCAATGGCATGACCTCTGCTCACTGCAACCTCCATCTCCCAGGTTCAAGTGATTCTCCTGCCTCAGCCTCCCGAGTAGCTGGGATTATAGGTACCTGCCCCCATGCCCAGCTAATTTTCATATTTTTTAGTAGAGACAGGGTTTCACCATGTTGGCCAGGCTGGTTTTAAACTCCTGACCTCAGGTGATGCGCCTGCCTCAAACTCCCAAATTCTTTTTCAATATATGCATTTTTAATGCTGCCATTGCCCCTTAAACACTGCTTTTACGGCAGCTCACAAATCTTGCTTAAATTTTAAGATTACTATCAAGTTTCATGATCTTTTTTTGTTCTCTGTATTTCTTATTTATGGCTTCCTGTTCCTGTTTCATGGTTGCATTGCTTTTTTGTCTCTGAGAATATTAATTAGCTTCTTTGAAGTTTTATTCTCCCTCCTGCATTGTCTCTTCCTCCAAATTCCTTTTTTTTTTTTTTTT